TAAGGGGGCCCTATTGCTGATTATGTGCATATCCGAGCGAGTTCAATTTAGGTGAGACGCTGCCTTTAAGCACAGTCTCGAACTCAGCGGATCCAGAAGGCCATGTACTTTGAACTACACTGAAAATTGTAGTAACTAGAAAGCTCACCTTCGGATTCAATCCGGCAAGTTGTCCTACAGAATTGGACATACACTGATGCAAGAAATGTAACCGTCTGCAAGTGAGAAACAACAATTCCTGATATTTTTTGAAATCAATCGCAGCAACTGCACCTAAACTGCCTTTCGGAAACAGGGCGCACAATGCCAAGAGAGCCATCAAGAGATGCCCATACACTGGTTTGCTGCTGTGTGATGCTTTTGACATCAAGTGGTGACACCGCAAACAATGACGTATGCCCTGAATGGCGAGTAATTGTTATATTTGGTAATCATTCAGCATACCGTGAAAGCATTCAAGCCGACCTTTCACCCGAAGCCACGCATTCACGTTCGTGCCTATGTTCAGAACACCTCTTAGCACTAGTCGTTCTCCTCCATTAGATTCTTGTGTCTCTGGCATGTAGTTGAATAAGCATATGTTGCCAGCTTCATCAGACATTAGGAAAGCCAGATGACTAGAAATGGGCACTAATATAGTCGCGCAAAGCATCTGAGTAGAGAAATTACTTGTTATCGACTAGAAATTGTGCAGCCATAGGGAATGGGACATCTACACGATCGTCCCGAGATGCAACAGAAAGGGCTTTGAATTGCTCCTGCAAAAAAAATTCTTTAGATTGAGTGATACTAGTCAAAATGCTCGCAAACCTGAAAGCGAATCAACGACATAGAGTCATGCATATCGCATGCGATCGCAAGATTACGCATAGAGATCAAAGAATGCACATAGTAATGCATATCCAAAAATGAGATACCTTGCAAGTCATTGTCACGAAAACCCCAGATGAATATCTGAAACAAATTTGAACCGATGAGATTGAAGAAAATTTGTTATGCACACCTTTTGTGCCATGCCACTCAACAACAGGCCGTTGATAGATGCCAAGGCGGTTACCGGTCCTTTCTGTTCCTTATCATATAAGATCTAGAAACAGCAAAACATATTTCGATTAGATTACGGTAAAAAATTATCTTACTTTTATTTTATGCTTTGAAGTGGGCTTCCCAGGCTCAGGAACTACATCGATGATTTCAGCAAGAATAATGCGACCTCTCACAAGCACCTAAAAGAGTTTCCTTTGATGCTCAC